ATAAGCATAAATTAATGAGTGTAAAAAAAATGTACTAAAATATGTAAAAATATAATGAAATAGAGAGAAAAAAATCGAGTTCACTGAATGCACAATGTCCCCTTAAGAAAACTATTCCCCTCTAATACCAGAGGTTTAAAGAATAACATCATCTCTAGATAAAACGATTTTATTCACCAACTTATTGATATAAAAACAATGGTGTCAGTAAGTCACTCAACAGGACCAAAGTACACGAATACTTAATTTTGCGGAAGTAGAAGAAGAATATAAGAATTTTTGGTGTTTTAAAATGATAGGAAATCTCTCTATTTATAGAGAACAAAAGATAGTATGAACAAATATTTATTTTGCATTATCACAAGTGTTACAACTATTTGAAAAAATTGCAACCTTCAGAAAAGTTTACAATCTTTCATAAAAGTCACAATTTTTCGTAAAGTCGTTACTCTTCATTAAAGCCGTTTCTTTTCATAAATGTCACAAATTTTGATAAAAGTCGCAACTCTTCATTAAAGTTACAATTTTTCATAAAAATCACAACTTTTGATAAAAAGCTGCAACTTTTCTTTAAAATCGCAACTTTTCTTTAAAGTTAAAACTTTTCATTAAAGTCACAATTTTTCATGGAAGTCACATATTTTCATGAAAAAGGAAGGTTAATTTTAAAAATAAATAAATTTAAAAGGAATCGCTTATGATGGCACTAGGTAGGCGAACCTAAGATCATATAAATATATGATTATATAATTGAATGTTTTCTTAATTATAACAAATAATATATCATGCTATTAATTAAACATTTCATATCCATATTGCATGTTAAGTCCTACGTCAAGGGGGAATGATCCCTATTATTTTAATTAAGTCAATTTTTGAGATTAATTAGTTTTGTGATTTATTTTTTCATGGTATTAAACTATTAATAGATTCAAAGCCTATCCTAATTTGTTATTTGTCATTATTTTGTCCCTTTCTTGTATCGAAACTTACATTCGTAAATAGAGAGATATTGCGAACCTCTTTATACTAATTATTTTACGAGTTAATTTTTGAGATAAAGTTAAATTATATTAAAAAGTTTCTTTTTTTAGTTAAGATTCTCATTTAGTGTCCAGAACTTACTCTGACTAAATCAAAATCTCACGCTACAAGATCCATTCGAGAGTAACACTCCCGAAAGGTCTTCTCATTTATTATTGGCATCGCTTTTATTATATTATTATATACTCCCCCGTCTTATTTTATGTGGCATCATTTCCTTTTTGATCGGTCCTAAAAATAATGTTACGTTTCCTTAAATGATAAGTATTTAAAAGTACAATTCCTTTTTTATCCTTATTGATCCACTTAATTTTAAATATATTTTAATACATTTACGAGGAGAGAAAAAGATGAGTTCACTTTTAAAGAATAATTTAATAAATAATTTAAAATCTTTATTTATTTCTTAAACTCTGTAACAAATTAAATAATGTCACATAAAATGTGAGAAGTAATTAATAAGAAATTGTACTTTAAAAAGTTTCACTTTCAGTCATGCAACGTTTCAATCCAAACATTAGGATTGCACTGTCAAAAATATTTCTTACTTTCAAATTTAATGTTCTTTAAGAAAACACTGATTATGTTTTCTTTTTCTTTCTATTTTATCTTTATTTATGTTTTATGATATTATTTCTTTTTATTGAATATTTACTTTATTGATAATATATCATTTTTTATAATCTTTAAATATTTTTAAAATTACGATAAATAAATGGAGACAGGAGAGTTGATAATTCATTTTTTATTGTTCTTTTTTGGGTAATGGTTTGGCGCGCATTTCAAGTAGGTGGAGTCACTTCTATTCTTTCTATTGACAGAATATATATTCTTATCTCTGATAAAGTGAGAAAAAAAATTAAATATAACATAAAATTAACGTAAATAGTTTATAGATATTATTTATTTTATTTTTGGGATATTGATATTTTTATTGTTAAAAAGTTAGAGTATATATATCCTTGATACTAACGGATATATATGTGTCAGAATTTTATTTATCAATTCAATATTTGTTAAATATCAAATCGACGGAATGCGCCACATGTTCCTTTTTAGTATTTCGTTAGGTAAATGACATATATGCTTTAGTTTGTGAACATAAAAATATTAATATTTCAAAAATATGATATCATTTATAATAATTCGACATATATTTATCTTTTTATAGAAGGACTCTTAATTTATTTTTTTTAATTAACAAAGATGATATGTCATATCTCTTTTTGAACATCGCAATAATAACGTTTTTTAAAAAAAAACTATATATACAGTAATATTAATATTATTATTGTTTAACTTTGAATATGTGACGAATGATAGCATTTAAAAAGAGCAAAAAGTGAATATTACAGACCATATATAGGGGGAGGAATATTCAAACATGGGATGTCGGAATCATGGCCTTAAAAAATAAAAAATCTTTGCGATACGTAAAATCAAATTTAATTAAATTTTGATAAGAATATCAAATAACGAACATGAGATAAACTTTGACATTCAAATTAATGAAATTCAGATGAACTCCCTTCCACTCCTCAACCTCTCTAGCTTTTTTTCAGCTAATGGTAAGAGAGCAACACGAGAACAATTTGATAAAAATATATTTAAATAAAGATGAATAGAAAAATAAGCTATTTATTTATCGAATTTTGAACTTTTCATCAGAGAATATAATTGATTTTCTTTAATATTAAGGAAAAAAAAAACAAATAGTATATTAAAGTATGAAAATAAGTGGTTTCTTTCCTCACACCATTAGTGTAAAGGAGGAAACAAATTGAAAATAAGACAAAACTCATGATTTAATTAAAGCAAATCTAAGATAAAAACAATTACTCAGATCCTCATAATATAAGTATTGAACAAGTTTGAACTTTGAAGTACATTAGATGCCTAGTTCTAGTTAAATCGAACTCCGTTTTAAAATAGTTATCGCGTCTTATTTTTAAAAAATTAATTTATAAATTAAAGTTAATTTTTAAATTAATTTAATATTTTAAAATTTAAATGTCGATATTCAAAAAACTATACAGAAAGATAGTATAAGTTTTAGCTTTCTTCATGTTAATTAATATGGTTAAAAATACATTATTTTAAGATATTGATTAAAATTTAAATGAATTTTACTTTGAAAAAATGAAACATTTGAGATAAAGAAAGTAGATTTTGAGTCCTCGATTGAAATGTTCCTAACATCTTTAGATTTTGAGTCCTCGGTTGACCGTCAATTAAACATGATAAAAATTTTATCTCAAATATAAATTCAAATTTAATTTTAAACTTATCTATCAAATTTGATATTACTTTATTTTACCTTACCAATAAAATAGATTAATCCAAAATATTATAAATTTGAAATAATTTAATCTAACATATCAAATCACTTTTTATTGCTGTTCAATATGTTGGGTGACATGTTTTCCATTATTATATCACTTTTAATAACATGTATCATGCTAAAAGTGGCTCAATAAATAAGTATATGGCACAGAGAAAAAAAAATTCCTTAAAAAGAAAAAAAGAAAGAGACTTTCGTACTTTTCTAAAATAATTGTTTTACTAAAATATATATAAAAATATAAAACAACTTTTTAGGAAGTTTGGATAATCCAATTAAAAAAAAAGTTTCGAAGTATATTCGAATTCTAATCGAAATTATAATAATTTTAAATTTTGGGGAAGATCTATAATTTTTACACTATTTAATCGTATATATCAAATGTATATTTATCTTCACATAAACAAATTATTATTTACAATAATACAATATTTATAATATCCATATAAATACATATATATCTTTAAAATATATTATTAAATTATTGAGACATAAAAAATTCTACCCAAAGATTAAAATTATTACAGAATAACGATCAGGATTCAAATATATTTCAGATAGTAGCACTTTGTTTCACTTTATTCCATTCCCTCAATGATGAAACGCAACTTTACATTAAAGGGTAAATATATTTTTTCAATTTTACGATTTAAAGTATATGTAGTTTTTGTTTAGAAAAAGGTAGATGTGTATATACTATTTTCGTTTAATAAATAATGTTAGTTGTCTAATAAATGGTGTGGATTTACTTTTTTTTCAAAAAAAATTAATAGACTGAAATAAAAAGAGTCTTAAAATTGATTTTTAAATTCTAAAATGCTAATGTGGCTTTAAGAAAAAGTGAGATATTTTTTAAATTAAAAGAATAGCTATTATAAATATTTTCAATAAAGTAAATATTAGTAATAAGTTTACGAAAATAGCAAATATACGCCATTTGTTTGATGATAAAGAGATATACAAATAACATTTTAATAAGAGATTATCTAATTTAAATTGCAAAGTTAAAACGTATATTTACTCTTTTCTTTACATTAAATCATATCAACTTTTATTATATTAGTATAAATGGTTGTGTAAAATTAAAAAAATAGTCAATTATAATTAAATAAAAGAAATATATGTCTAAAAGCATATTATATTCCATATTCATTGATTTAATGTAAATATATATTGAAGATATAAGTTTTCTCATATATATATTTTTTAAGTTTCAAGTCAAATATAACTTTATATTACACGAATATAATGGACGAAATCAAAAAATTTATTAAATATAAATAAATAAATACCGACAAAGAAATCTAATGAATACAAATATATAATATATAATAATTTTAATCTTATATAATAAAAACAACACAACATCATTTTTTCCATTGATCATGAATACCAAATACACTAGGATATATTCCTTTGGAACAAAGATTTATTGGAGAGGCATAGTTAAAAGCACACTAGACAAAATTACATAAATTAGCACTTACACCACACACTGAAGGAAATAAGTTTTCATGACGAATTTAAAATTTAAATTCAGTGAATTCAGAATAAAATTCACGACTTCACACATTCACTAGACTTATTCTAAATTCGCCTTTAACATTAATCGTTCTTATTTTTTCTTGGTCAAGGAGACAGTAACATTTATAAACTCAGTATCCTCTTTAGCCATACACTTGGAGACAATCTCTTCATACTTTTGGAAGACTAAATCAATCAATTTTGGATCAAATTGGCTCAGAAGCAAAGGCTCAGCCACAGCTCTCATGCACTTTGACACATTGTAACCATCATTATTAATATTTTCAATATTATTAGAAGCATTATTCCAATGAACTCTTGTAGTTTCCAATTTATTTATAGTGAATGAACCTTCTTTATCAACTACATATTTCACTTCTCCTTGTGATGGTGTATATTGAGGAATATTAAATGAATCCACTTTCTCTTCTTCAATCAATCCCTGCATTAATTCATAAAGAATTTTTACATCATCAGAATAATTCATTCGCGGTTAAGAATAAGTACTTGTTATTATATATCAACTTAATAAGATAGATAAACGTATACGCACATAACTTACCTCTAAAACCAATTCATTAAGAGCCATGGATAAAAGCTCCCAAATATAACAACATTCTTTGCTAAAAGGATCTTCACTTTCTCTTCCTAAAAATGTTAATACCATTTTTCCACCTTTCATCAATTCTTCCGAACGATATTTCAAAAAAATTGAAAAATCTTTTTCATATTGCTTGTAATATGCTTTTATAACACTTGGTGGACTTGTACTTGCCATGTAAATATTCCCCTTGTTCTTTTCAATTAAATTAGGAACCTAATAATACACAAAATCAATTTTTTTTTAGATAGAAGATATATATAATAATTTATATCACAATGCAACTTAATTAGTATAAAATTAACTTACTTGAGATAGCCACATAAGACTATAAGATGAGTGAACAAAATGCAAACTTTTTGATGGAAAAAGTCTAGAATAAAATGAACCAGCCACACCACTAAAAAAACATGGACCAAGTTCTTCTCCAATTTGTTTTTTCAAATTTTGTTCAAATTCCCCTAACGATCGAAAAATCGCGTTAAAATCATTTCCAGGGAGATCATTGAAGTGAAAATAAAACTCTGGTGATTGTAGATCGTGTTTTTTTCGTTCTTTTTCAATGACCTTAACAAGTTCTGATACCACTAAAAAAGTGTTCGCTCCAGAAGAACAACCCAAATCAGCAATGTATAATGTTTCTGGGAATAGGTTACAATAGAGATCACTTATGGCTTGATCTCTTATTGGCTTTGTCATGAGAATCACCTTTTTCTGTTCATAAAAGAATAAATATTATAAGGAAATATATATTATAATTCAAAATTTAATTAACTTTCACATAATATCGATAAGAGTAGTTTTTATTTTTATTTTTAATATATATCATGTTATCTAAAAGATAAGGGAAAATACACAAGTATTCTCTCAACCTATGCCCAAAATTTCAGAAACACACTTATACTATACTAAGATCCTATTACACCCCTAAACTTATTTTATAAGTAATTTTCTATCCCTTTTTGGCTTACGTGATAGTAACTTGAAAAAAAAAAGTCAACAACGTTGGACCCACAAGATAGTGTCACGTAGGCTGAAAAGGGGTAGAAAATTATTAATAAAATAAGTTCAGGGGGGTAATAGGATCTTAATATAGTATAAATGTGTCTCTGAGATTTCGGACATAGTTTGAGGGGGTACTTGTGCAATATCCCAAAAGATAATTATAAGTCATGTTGGCTAAATTTGGAAAAAAAGCCTGAAATATATTTGAACTTTGACTGAAATTGTTGTTATGATATTGAACTTTGAAAAGGATCTTTTACCCCTCTGCACTATTTCATAGTGTATTTTAAAGGTATATATATGTCCACGTGGACATCATAAATATTGCATCATTATAAATATTAATGTTTCCACGTGGGCACGTATATATACTATTAAGATACACTATTGAATTGTGGAGAAGGGGTGGGGGGGGGAGGGGGTAAAAGGTCATCCATAAAGTTTGGTATCGTAACAATAATTTCAGTCAAAGTGAAAATATTTTTCAGACCCTTACTTATAAAGAATGTTATCTTGTATTTTTTATCCTCCAAAATTATATATTTTTGAAAACCTGATATATACATGTACAAGTTTAAGCCTAAAGGTTGATCCAATATTTAAAGTTTTCGATATCTAAATCTTACGACAACCTCAATATATATATAATTATATGTTTAGTACCTGAACCAAGGAATTATTTGCATAGCTAATGTCTCCATTTCCTCCATTCATGTGAAGAACTTCAACAACCTTCATTTCTACTTTGTAATTATTATTTTTCCTCCTTGATTTTTTTTTTAATGTGTTATATTACTCTTTGCTTGATAAAATCTAAATAATGTATCACCTATTTATAAGAGGATCATAGTGTAGTGTGAACTATATTGGACAATTACAATATTGTCCTTGATAGAGATGACTCAATGCATAAATAAGTGGTCCAAAATAAAACTTTGCTTAAAATCTTTTATTGGTGTACTGCTTCGGAATTTGTGTCTTCTCCGCCCTCCAACACATCTCACGTAGGGTTCATTCGCACGGTCGCCCAACACCAAATTCCTACCCGACTCACAGTAATCTGATCTTTTTAATATAATAAAAATAATTTTTAATGGTAAATTATATTAATAAAAAATGTTAAAGCTTTTATCAACATTTGTTAACATTGAATTCACTATTGCCATAAGTTTTAAAGATATTTACAAAAAGTGTAATTGCTGCTAAAAATATATATTTTAACGTATCAAACATTAAAAAAAACTTTTTATTTTTGTAAGAAATGTTTTTAATGAAAAACACACGCTAAAACTCATACACTGTCTGTAGTTGTTAATTAGTAATATGATTCATTAAAATTAAAAACTTGTTTTTCTTTTTCTTTTAATATACGTAACAAAACGTTGACTTATCAAAACATAGAGAACGCGGTTAGTGATGAATATGATGAATATTGTATAAGTTTCTTCGATTTGAATCAGGTTTAAAGCGTGAAATATATTTATATTATTCTAACTTTTAAATAAGTTTTTTTTATGATAGCACGATGATCCATGAACGACGTAGGATTTTTAAAATTAACAAAATATCATTATAAATATCGAATATAAAATAAATTAAAATCAATTGAAACAAACAAATTCATTTTTTCTATGATTATAATAAAATCTTATAATTAAAAAAAAATATCTTCCCCCATATATTTTAATTTATTTATCTTACTCTAACTTGACTAGTTGCATTATTAATTGTCAACATTAAAAACTCCGACTCTTGATTTTAGCACTTATAAAAAAACATTGACCTCGTGAGACATGGTGATTATGACAAGTATGTAAGACAAAGAAATACCAAACTTACTTTTGTTTCTTTGTTCATTTTATATAAATAAATAAATATTATAATAAGAGAAAATGATTCATAATATATTTGAATTGATCGAAATTGCACGAAACAATTTTTAATTTTGACCATGACCTATTACTTTACGTACAATTTAATAATATATTTTGAAAGATATATATATTTACGTAGATAAGTTACTATGTATAATAATGTAATATTTATCATGTCCACGTGGATATATATATGCTTTTAAAACATATTATTAAATAATAGAGGGGTAAAAGATCCTTTCAAAATTTGGAATTGTTTCAATAAATTTGGTTAAAATTTAAATATATTTTAAACTTTTTTCGTGCATAGTAACTACCAACATAGTAAACATATATATATATATATATATATATATATATATATATA